GTGTGTGTGTGTGTGTGTGTGTGTGTGTGTGTGTGTGTGTGTGTGTGTGCCACGTACCTGAGGCGGCTCTCGTCCAGGAAGCTCTTCCCACACACCTGACAGGCGAGTTGTTCTCTGTGTCCATACAACAAATATTCAAACTTCATGTCGGTCGTTGCTGTCGACCAACCAGGCGGCTGCTCGTCTTTCACCTCGCCCATACTGTCAGCAAACGTCAGCGTCTGGGTGGCGTGATGCTCCGCCCCTAGCTCTTTAGGCTCTGCCTCCATGTCTGTCACCACATCCTGGTCATAACATGTAACCTGGAGGTCAAAGGTCACAGGTGCTGGTTACCCATTCATGTGATTACTTACACTTTTAATCCCAGCTGATCTTCTTTACAGTTTCACCGACACGTGATTTTCGACATGTGTTGTCTCAATCAAACATGTTTTCCTCATTTGACATGTTTCCTGTTTCATGTTATGATCAGGTTACGCTGCCATTGTGGTACCTCCCCTTGGCTACGGACTAGTGTTGCACGGTATACCGATACTAGAAAGGTATGTAGTCCTGTGTACTCAAATAAATACCAGTACTATACAGCATGAAGCCATGAATGGATTTGATAAACAGAAAACCTGGAATGCTTTTATTTTGAAAGGAGTAGCCTCCAGGTTGTATTTGGGACTTGTTGGACAGATTAACATTGAAACTGTCATGAAAGATCAATTTCTTTGTATATTCTATGAACTGTGGGTGAATCTATAGCACTACAATCTTTCGAACCCATTTTTGAAACTACAGACGTCTGGTGCCACTGGCTCAGATAGAGAGACTCTTTTTTTTAGTAAATTATTGAAATTCATGACGTGGTATCGAAACAAACATTTTGGTATCGACAACACAACTCCAGACACAACATCGACTGTTGACAGTTGAGAACTGTGTGCGTGAATGTGTGTTGTACCTTGTGTACATCCTCATTAGTCAGCTCTTTCAGGATTGCTTCCTGGACACGAAGAGCTGCACTGGGAGACTTATCCAACTCCTGATTGGCTGATGCTTCAACGAGGTCATCGGTGGTGGGCGTATCGTCGTGCTCCCCGAGGACCTGAACATGACGACAGTGACATGTTAAAGGAGACAGAGGATTCATCTGATTATATAATGTTCTGATCGTACCTCAGACTCAGCAGCCAGCTGAGCCTCCGGTGGCAACGCCATCTTCACGATGTCGTACGGAAACTTGTCTTTGTCTTCCGATGACACGTCTCGTTTCTGAGGACACGCAAATGCATCGTCATGTTTGTGGTTAGTGAGGAACGATGTTATCTGTGTGTGTGTGTGTGTGTGT